CAGCTTTGCCTCACGATATTCACTCTCAGTGAATATCTCCTCCAGTCTATTGAGGCAGGGAGCATTGTCGCAAACAACAGTGATCTGCTGGAGTTGATCCAGCACTGATCGCATCCACTGCTTGCAGTCTTCCCATCGATATGCTCCACGTTTGTTCTTGCACGACACCATTCCCATCACAGTCATGGCACCTATTAGATGCAAGTTTCTCCCGCGACTGTTGCATACCGGCAAGCATGAACGTGTGCCTTTTGTTGACCAACCCATTGTCCTGGTGCAAAAGAGATTGAAGTTTGTTTCATTAACCCAACAAATACAACCCCCTTCTTGGTCTACTTCAAACATCTGGAGAGCATACCGCTGTCGAATCACCTTCGTATCAACATTTTTCATTTCATATGGAATGAGATGAAGCTTCTTGATTGTAATCAGTCGGCAATCGAAATAATTTCCAACTGCTGTGCGTGAAACCTCCTACTCAAACTCCGCTTTAATTCGGATTCTTAACAACTCCAACGTGATTTTGGGATCTTCTTTCAGCCAGGTGATCATTCCGTCGATCTCCGTGTTATTTAAAGTCTTTCTCCTTCCTCCGCTTTTCGGTTGACGTTCGTACTGCAGTTACTTGGCATTAATCTCTGGGTGTGTGTACACGAACAGCTTACCGCTGGATAATCGATAAGTAACATAATCGTATAAACGGGCGACATAGCGGATAAAAGAGAAAGAGTTTATGCGAAGAATAAATAACTCATTTGGTTGAATGGGTCAGTGAGGACTGTACAGTCTCTTTGGAGACATTGCGACAGAGGCTAAGGGCGGAATACAGAAAAGAGGTCTACTGCACCACAGTAAGCAATTATTTGGATGGCCAACTCGTCACAATGAAGAAAATATATCCCTTCTCGGAGACTATGAACTCCGATGAAAACAAATTGAGAAGGAGCTCGTTTTGTCAGCAAATACAGTTATGTATTAATTAAGGGAAAAAAACATTGTATGGATCGACGAAATGAAGTCAGCATACAAATGCTAAGCAAGAATCTTAGCAAATTTTAACCACTTTTGCAGCTCCCGTTCAAAGGATATTCTAATGATGGTTTACTAAGATGTCTGGAGAAAGCTATTGCACGAATATTTCTAGCCGCCACTAAACGTTTGGTGTTTGCAAACCGGCCTCAGCTCTGCACAAACCTCAAGGATAAGCTTGGGTTATATTAGTAGTATATTTAAAAGATTATCACAGTTGGTGGGTACGTCGTAAATATTTAAAGAGAAAAGAGAAGGGAATATTATTGTACCTTGGAGCACTGCCGAATGAGCCGGTAACGCATCGGAAGTTTTACTAAAGTATTTGGTGGTGTTCTATCCGAGAAATAATCCGTGATCAAAGACGGATTGGTAAAGAATAGTCCAACATCGTGAAGTAGAGTTCGATTCAGTTTTCTATTCATTATTCACTTTTGTGCGCCGGTTTTGGTTGTTGTCTCTTGACTTCCCATTGGAATGAAGAAGTAAACGGAAGAATGGAATGCTATAGTCAGTGTCAGAGTAAAAGTGAAGAAGTCCTGAAGACGAAGACTGCAACGAAATGGAGACCCACTATTTATGACGGAGCCATATCACTTAGTATCTCTAAATCATCGGTTATGATGATCCCTAGGTCCCCATCCAGAGAGCCTAACGCGACCTATATGACCGAGTCTCCTGGTTAGGGTTCTCATACCCTCTTACCAGGTCTTAGTTTTACCGTGGTTTGCTGTTTTCTCACGAATCACCGACCTCGACAAACAGTGCGCGCCGTGGAGTAGAGGACAGAAATGTGTCCCTGTCAATAAAATTAAGATTATTACTGTAATCGAGAAGATACGCACGAAATGCTGCTATGCATGTCTAGAGACTGGCAAAAATGAACTTAACAAGCATGCTGGGTTGTCTAAGATAAAACGATATTGGCGATAAGCGAATTGTTTGGGTACGATCGGAGGTGGAACGGGTTCCGAATTCACGGAAAAGAAAACGGAGGATCGGCGTCCGATGAATCTGAATCTCAAGACTGGAATGACTTGGGTGTTCAATTCAGCTCCTGGTACTATTTGCTTGGGCAATCATCACTATTGGAATTTCATGTTTCAAATAATCGGTTCAGAAACAGCTGTTCTTCCGTCTCCACAGTTTGTGTGAGAGTTTTCTTCATAAGTGGATGGTGAGTTCGGCACTGAATAATATCATGAGCTGGATAGCTGCATATGCGCGTTACGGTCAAATAGACTTTTCAGATCCAAGAAGTGACACGCCTGTAAAGGATGTATCATGCAGAACTGGGGTGAACATCCGGCCCATTTCTTTGGTTTTGTTTCTTCGAAGTAAAAACGAAACGAGATGCTGATCAGGCTACCGAAGATACTTTACAGTGTGATTCATTCCCAATGTGATGTCCTTTACCGGTGAGCGGGAACATTTTGCTCATAAGCATGCACGACCACGCTAAAACCTGAGAGAAATTCTGGTATCTTCTGGGAGGAAAACCTGTATTACTCTTCTCCTCGACCATGATAAAAGGCGAAAAGTCTGATAGGACATTTGTGTGGTGAGGCGTCAAATCATGCCGCAGCTTGCTCGCATCGCAGGCACGTATTCACGGGGCCTAATTAAGTGTTGTATCTGTATTTCACCTATTAACCCTGTAAATCATGTTGATACGTAAACAGTCCACCTGTTCCGGTTCCCTGGCTTGTGTTCTTCACAACCCAGGGACGTACAGTTATAACAATCTGTCTAAACGTCACCAGAAATCTATATTGCTTGCCATACATGTTGAACTGTTGTACGAAATCTAACTGAGTTATCAGCAGGTATGTACACGTTTTGGACGAAACAACAATGATCGATGTATGAAAATTGTGTCAAAGTAGGCACTGATGGGAGGTAATCAATAGTTGGGGCTTTCGGTTTCTCGGTTAAGATAGCAAGACAAAGTAAAAAGGGAACAAAACAGATTGCATCATCATCAGAGTCAAACATCACTTACGGCGTTTGACTCCCCGATAAGCAGTCAGTCGCTTGTCAACCAGAATCACCAAACCATTCAGATCATTCGAATAAATCCCCAGCGCGTTGCTCAATCGCTCGCCGACGGCATTTTCCGACACTCGGCTATTACAGTTGGCGTGAAATAAAGAATGGGGGACAGACGGAGTGAGAAATAATCATAAGATTCAGTTCAGTTTTCAGTTTGAACAACCATTAACCATGCACTTTCGTGCGCCGGTTTTGGTTGCTGTCTTTTGACTGTCCATTTGGATGAATAATAGAAGACAGGAAAGTTGAAGCTAGAGTCGAACATGAAATGGAGAAGTTCAACGGTCCAAGTTTGCAAAGCAATTGAGATGCACGAACGCCACTGTTTACATCACCCAGCCATATCATTCAGTGTCTCTCTCTAACCATCGGTTACGGTCATCCTGAGGTCCCCAGCCAGGGAGCCTAACGGGACTTATGTGACCCAGACTCCTGGTCAGGGTTTTCATACCCTCGTGCCAAGTCTTAGCTTGGCCACCCTTGACTTTCTTCCACCCACTACTTGCCTGGACGAACATCGTTTACCGTGGCAACCTATCTGGTGATATGCGTAACACATGCCCCAACCAACGTAATCTACGGAGGTCGACCATTTGCTCCAGTGGGCGACCGCACAGAACGATTTGATAGGTTAGGTGTCTCTCGTCTTCCGGGTTGGGGTTCAAAAGACTCAGAAACCGCATTGTTAAAGACACTGAAGGTTATGGCTGCGAACCGACAGCAATGGTGATCATGCTGTTACTTTTTATCGGACCAGAATGCTTGAAATAATATGTACGTATAGTTGGACTGTTTACTCTGTGTTAACCATAGAGGTTTGCTTTCGTTTCCCGTCCCTGTCCTCCTTACACATTCTCATTTACGTTGTATGCAATATGAGTTTGGCAGCGATCAGTGAAGTGCGCTTCACTGTATTACGCTGTACAATGATGCTGCTGCTGCTGATATACTTACTGGAAAGCAAGTGTTTCCCATATCCCTTGAGAATGGACAAATACCAGGCGTCCCGAACGTGATCACACGAACAGAAAACGTTCACCATTTTGTGAACAATATACTCATTCACTCAATAAGTCAGCCGATCTCTTATAATTTATACGTGCTAGTTGTCAGAGCCTTGGGATGCGGAAATTACATTTATGCCTTAGAGATCAGTCTCATCCAATAGAAAACTCTATATTGCCTGTTCTTCTCCGAAATGACGGAAGCATCCTTTACATTTTATCATCTCAACCGTTCTGGTGGCACAGTGGTTTAGTCGGTGTCACTGGTGTGCTTTTAGTCCTATGGTCTGACGTTCGAACCCCGCCACCGCCACTCAACTTTGGTGACAGGCAGGTTTTCTGTCATCCGGTTCAATACCACGCCTAAACTACCGGGACTTTATGTGGTTCGCCACTCCAAGTCCCCGGGGTTAGGTTACCGGGTTCCATGACGGAGCAGCAGGTCCGTGTGACTATGGGGTTCGCCCTGTCTGCCGTTCACCACACGAATATGTGTAAAAAAGTGCGTTAATGAACGATTTTATCGTTTAGACAAACTGTACATNATCAACACATCCACCACCAGGCTATAATCCAGCTTGCTGTTCACGAATGTTGGTCTCTCTTATAAAGGAATCAAATGTCACTGTATGTGGGAAGTTATCACTTTGGTGACGATTGGTATCAAACTTATCCGGCGGTGGATTGTGTAGTCGTTGCGAGTTCTCTTTTTGAGCATAGGAACCATCCCATCAAACGGGATGATAGTACTTGAAACCGAAGCCTCTTTTTATCCTAATGAGATTACCCATAGCTTGTAAGATGAATACAATTCTGATCTGGGCAGGAAGAGTTACGACGAAAGGAAATATGTGGAGCTTAGTGGTAGAGAGAAATATGGTTTCAGATTATTTGACTAGTTCCACTCCACCATGCGGTATGATAAGATCGAAAACTGTGAATGATCGGACAGTGGTACTTGATCGTGTCGTTATATAATGTGTGAATTGCCGTTTTTTCTGTCTTCAAATGCATCGTCCAGATGTATAACTGATTACACTTTCCCCCAATCTTATGTTCGTCAGGGTTGCCCTCTCTCTACTTTTCTATTCAACTTTGTTACAGATTTAATTATGGAAACAGTCCTATCCTCGTGCGAGGACAGCAGTATCGAAATACTCCCAGGTGGCAGACTGTTTAATCTAGAGTATGCAGACGACATTGTGCTACTAAGTGAAGATGCGGGGAAGTTGCAAGCTTTTTTGGACAGCTTAAATGCCAGTGTAGCCATGTTCGGTATGCGTTTTGCACCTTCAAAGTGTAAAATGTTACTACAAAGCTGGGTTGGTCCAGCACCGGGCCTCACTCTAACGGGAAAAGTAAAAGAGCAAGTGGATAAGTTTTGTTATTTAGGCAGCTGCATCTATCCCGGTGGACGCATCACGGATGAAGTGTCGGCGCGAATACAAAAGGCTCGATTGGCATTTGCCAACATCTGTGGCGCCGTCGCGACATCCGGCTGTCTGTGAAGGGTCGAATGTATGCTGCAGAAGTTCGGCCAGTTCTGCTAAACGGAGCAGAAACTTGACCATTAAGAAAACGGGATAAACATAGACTGTTCTGATTCAAAACGGGCACGAACGGCTGGGTCAGATAAGCGATGATCTGTCAATCGAGTGTGGTGGGATTTTCTGCGACCAGTGAGTTGGAGAGTGAACTGCATCAAAACTAACACATGACCAGATTCAACGCAGGCGGTCCAACGGGACCTACAGCTTTGTACTGAGCCACACCAACGGTGGCTTACTGATTTGTGGTCGATCTGAGTTAGCGTGCCAGTTGAATTTGAGTAAGAATATCTCCTCTCAATAAATCAAGCTGTTAACTTCAGCCCATGATCTGAATTTTGTTTAAACTTACTCGTTTGCACTGTCTGCTGCGGCACTATTACCAGCATCGCCGGAATCAGTCTGACAGATGGAGCGAAGCAAATCATTTGGATCCGCCCTTATCAAACGAAAATTGCATGTAGTACGCATCTGTCGGCCCAACTGGACCGTGAAGCTCTCTGACCATGGCTGAAGTTGCGGGTCCTCGCGTGGAGATGCCGGATCAGTCGGCAGTGTGTGACGAGTAAGTCGAGGTTTCCTTGTTCGAGAGGACGGGACCGGGACAGTAGAGTGGGTCAGATCATCAGTGGAACTAGTCATAATGGACGATGGTGGTGGAGGAATCAACGAGCCGGAACTGATGACGCGCCGAATGTCAAATCCAACAGTGATGGAGAAAAAAATGACGAAAAATAGAGATAGAAAAAAATGAGAGTCATGAGTTGAATTACACACATGAAGAATCAGCGAGTGCGCGTGTTTGTTTATAACGTTTTCAGTGAGTTTTATCATAGTTATTTTCAAGACAATGCGTATGGCTTACGCAAGAAGAATGGAACGGAATTTGAAGAACATAAGGAAATATTACATTCACACGGTGTGTGTGGGTGTGTGTATTCCGAGCACCAGAAGCATACCGTAACCATCAACGTGCCCAAATAGATGTAAAGATCCATTTATGGAACTCCTGGTTTTAAATCAGACAGTTGTCAGCCCAGAAATCCACTACATTTCATCGTGAATATCCAGACACAGACTGAGAGAATGTGCCAGGCTTTAGCTCATCTATCATTCTTTATCCCCAAACCTAATTACTTTTGAACTGATCAGACATCCTCGGTGTGTATGCCCCCAGTAACGGACAAAAAGCACAACTGCAAAGCGACATACAATCCAACTAAAACCACCGATAAAGTGATCAAGATCACCGCGGACACAAAGTAAATATAAATATCTAAGGCAGATCAAGAATAGACCCATTGGGACGAAGAAGAAACTGAACCTGTATGGTCAACACAGAAAGAAGGATCTCATTGTGGCTGCATACTTTTCAAAGTATTGCGATCTGATCAGAATGTTGATCCGCTGTCATATCCCTCAGTTTTCAGCTTTCACAGTCATTAACTATGCATTTCATTGCGCTGGTTGTGATTACTGTCTCATGACTTCGAATTTGCATGAAGGAGCAAGAAAATTGGAATGTTATCAGCAAAGTCAAAAGAAGATAGAGGATTTACATGGACCAAGGTTGTAAAGAAATTGAGATGCACAATCGCCACTGTTTACTACACCCAGTTATATCAAACAGTGTCCCTAATCACCGATTACGATGATCTGTAGGTCCCCATACAGGAAGTCAAACGTGGCTTATGTGAGTAAGTCTCCTGGTCAGGGTTTTCAAACACTCCTACCCGGTCTGAGTTTGACCTCCTTTTACTTTTTTTACTTTAACTTTTAGCCAACACCTGATTCGGCAAGCAGCACGCGTCGTGGTAATCTATTTAGTGACATGGGTAACACACGTCTCAATCGACCTAGTCTAATAAATTCGATCTTGTTCTGCACCGTATGGCAGAACTGGTCGAACTCCTTCAACCCACTCCTGATTCTTCACAGACAGCCGGATGTCGTGACGGTGCAATAAACGTTAGCAAATGCTAATCAAGCCTTCAGTATGTGAGCCCGCACTTCATCCGCGATGCGTCCGCCAGGTGAGATATGGCTGCCCAAATAGCAAAACTTATCCATTTGTTCTATTGCTTCCCCCAGCAGGTTTTATTGCCGGTAAACTTCCCCACCCCCCGTGTTTATTTGCTGGAGTGACCTCTTCAGGGGTAAGAATGGATAGTTAGAGGGAGCCAAGACGTGCCCTATCTGTTGGCCTAATGAAACTAAGCGTTGTCTGGCCTCTACTCATTTATCATTCGGACATGACTGGATCTGCGGTTATGAAAAGGAATACTGTGTAGTTCACATGGTCATGGATGTTCGTAAGCCATCACGCCACGTCAAGGTTCAGTTCTGTTCAGTTTTTACAACTATTAACCATGCACTTTCATGCGCCGGTTTTGGTTACTATCTTTTGGCGCTCCATTTGGATTAAAAAGCATAATGAAGATTGGAATGTTGAAAGCAAATTCAAGGTACAGTATTGTTGTGTTGGCCCCTCAGTGTATTCACTCAACTGGTCACAGGTTTCCCAGGACTCCAATCCGGATGATACGGGATACTTATTTTGCGGTTTTTCTTCCCTCATTTACACGTCACTGGTTGTCCTCCATGTGATTAGTTCCACCCTGAAGCGACAACTAAAAAGCAGCTCGGTACACTAGATAATTGCTAGGCATGTTTCTTAACCGGCAATGTCTACTTACTAGAATTTAATGTGTTAAATGTTCCAACAAGACATTCGTAAACATGCAACGACTTATCTCAGTGATGTGAGTCCATCCGTCCGATTGATGATCGAAAGCATCCAGTGGACAGATGTCTTTCACGCGCAAACTTAAGGTCCCACACCCGAAAGCGGTGACGTCGATGACACATGGACCTCATAGATGACTCTAAGCTGAATCTTACGCACAAGGGGGCGCAACCCACAGTGGAATCATTTATATGATCCCGAAAATTTAGCAATGAAGTACCAGCAACATCACAATTCTTAATTGTGTGCAGATTACACTTAATGATATTTCAATATTAAATTTATTCGATTACAGGTAAAAAATATAATAATTATAAACCGCTAATCGCATTTCCATTTTCCACCCACCTAAACAGTCAATTGTGTTGCATATGACAAACGATGTCGACCGAATCATTTTCTGTTTACGGGTGTCAATCAAGGATGGAGGAAGTCACAGAGGACGAGCAAATCAGGTATGCAGAATTACAGAGTTGTTGTCTATCTTCCGAATTGTAGACCAGGAAAATCTAACTGGTTAGTTAGAAACATTGAAAGATACGACAGCGAAACAAAATTAGCGATGTTCTTGTCGTTATTTCGTATTGATTTAGAACTTCTGAAGAGGCATACTTTGTTCTGTGTGTTGACAACGAAGATTCTTCCCTCAAAGCAGTGTTTTACCTATCCACTTTATATACCGCCGTGCTTTCTTTGCACCGAACGATTGCATGCGACTGGATTGTTTCTGGAGTCCTATCGCCGAGTACGGGGTGATATCATCTGTGTGCAACGCATTCTTCGCGGTGACATGGGTCCAGAGTTGATGGAGTATTTCCCTCTGCGCGAGCAGACCAGGACTTGTGGACATGGACTTACGCTGTTGAAACTTTCGTCCGTAGGATTACCTCTTCGGTTCCGGCTATCGCGAAGGGTAACCAACCTTTGGAACTCCCTTCCAGCTGATGTGGTGGACGAGGTCAATGATAAGATGTTCAAGAGGAAGCTCGACAGCGTCCTGCGAACAATGTGGTATGTAGATCTATCATGAATGAGATCTTCGAGCCTGTGGTGATGAGGCTCATACGGGAAATTACCCTCTGCCTCTAATTGAAGAACATTGAACATATTATGAACTTGGGAGCGGTCAACGAAGTTCGCTTCACTACTGTTTACTGGGCAATGATGACTATGATCAACTAGGCTCGGAAATAAAAACCTCAGACGTGTGTGAAATAGAAGTATAATACATATAAATAACAATTGTAAAAGCACCAGAAGTTTTTTTCATTAGACACACCGCCCGTACTCGATGCGACTGATAAGCATGAGCAAAAGCGATCAAGAAGGACACTGTGTTTGGTCAGGGCAGTAACTGCGGCGATGATAAACTAACCAGAGGATGTAACAAGTCATCTTTGGAGTGAAATGCAGTCAGCCGATGTGAGTTCGAATGCGACGGTAGTTCATGCTGATTTGGATTTGTCTTCCTTCAGACTTCATCTTCACGCACAACCCTCAGTTTATTTTGTCAACCATAAGCTCGGGTCTGGAGTTCAAATCCCGGACGGGTTGGTAGATATGCACTGTGGATCGGTTCTAACAAGAGAGAAACCCGAGTCTAGTGTTTCGTGAGTGTTTGGCTGACCGAATAAACAGAATTGTGTGTGAAGGTGACGTCTAAAGGACACGCAGTCTAAATCGAAATAATTTATCCAAATAATATTGCTCTCAAGTAATTGTGAATCAAATGTAAGCTGTGACTGAATCCCAGATTCAGCGCAACCTCACTTATTCTAATAGCAACCGCATGGTAGAGGACCTTCTAAGATGAAAAAAACAATATATGAGACATGTAATTAACACAATCGAAATATTTCTAACTCTATATTGATAAAAGTGAATAATTAAATGACTATCCGCGTAGTCTCAATCCTATGCTATCACTCACCTCAGCTGAGCCAGATTCAAACAAGCGGACACACTGCCCTCTATGGAATCCAATGATCGGGACTCCACGGATTGTGGATCCCCATCCGCCAAGGACAATTGCTCGTCCAGATTCATGACAATGTCGCGCAACTGGCGACGCTGTCGACGACGCAGTTCACTGATACAACTATCCCACTGGGTCTCTATAAGATCGCGATTCCGCACATGGAGTTCTTGTAGTTGGGTGATTGTATCCGCCGTGTCAACGGCGCGCAATTGCAAGCCCCGCTCTGTTTCTGCCACTAGTCTGGGGCGGAATGAAGGAATTGTTTGCAGCGTGAAGGTCAAAAGAACATGGTATTGAAAGAATAACTGTAAATGCAGCAGAATATTACTCTTATTTGATGCTTCGAGTGGGGTTTTCAATGTGATACCATAGATCGGATGACTATACCACACAACTGACTTCAAGTGGTGCAATGATCTGAAACCGATATTACAGCGGTACAGTTTGGTTTGCCCCAACGTTATTTTTGCAAGTTTTGATTTATCTTTCAGCGGGTGGTGGTGGGCCGATGGTAACTTCACCAAATCATCATTCCAGGGATGTGTTCGAATCCCCCGCCAACGCCTGAATTTCTCCATTGTGTGTTGAATGGCGGCCCATTGATTGGCCGCTTCCCCCTTCCCGAAAATTATCCGTGTATAATAAATAAAAGGAAGTAAAACGAAAAAGAAAATTATTAGAGGTGTTTAGGTGATTGGTAAGACTTAATCATTGAAGTATTATCGATCACGCAATGGGAACATGTCACCAGTATTACTTAAAATGGATGGAAGCACTGTACGACTAGCGATGATCCGAAACCGCAAGTCTAGTTCATGTGGTGGTTTTTGTTGCTGTCTTTGGCTACTCATTTGGAAGAAGTAGAAACAAAACTGGAATGTCGGAAGCAGAGCCCAGGTTTCTGTTTCAGTTTTTACAAACAATAGAGATGCACTTTCGTGCGCCGGTTTTGGCTGCTATCTTTCGACCGCCCATTTGGATAAAACAGCAGAATGAGCAATGAGATGTTGAGACCAAATTCAAGGGGAATATTGCGAATTCATATGGACTGACGTTGCAAGAATATTCATCAGAGGCTTTAGCGCCACTGTTTGTGACACTCAGCGCCTCTAACCACCGGTTACGATGATCCGTATTGTCCCCAATCAGAGAGCCTAACGAGACCTAAGTAACCCAGTGTTCTGGTTAGGGTTTTCATACCTTCATGTCAGGTCTTAGTTTGACCGCCCTGGATCTTTTTCCATCCGCTACCTGTCTCGGCAAACATCGCTCGCCGTGGCAACCTATTTGGTGACATGCGCAGGTGTAATAGAGTAATAGAAGTTAATAAAAGGTTACTAGGATAGTGAGCACGAACACCGCTGTTTACGACACTCAGCCACATCACTTGGTTTCTCTAACCATTGGTTACAATGATCCCGCGAATGCGGGGTTGTAAATTCTATGTGTTACCATTAGCCTATTCTGTCTGGTCCAGATCATTATTAGTTCCACTTTAGCACTAAGTACTGTTGGTGAAAAAAATGATAATCGTGCGTCACCAGAACAAAACATGAACAAATCCACCAAAACGTTTTGTCGTGTGTTCACAATTGCCAAACTACGAATGGATGCACCTAAGAGATCTGATTTTCATGAACGATACACTGCTGACCATCATTCGCTTTCGGTACACGTCATCGTCCTTCTGGTTCTGGTTAATCTTCTGTGAAAAACAGAAGGCTACCGAGAGGGATATTTTCATGTCTGAGGAAGGATTGCTTTGTAGCCTCATAAGCCTAAGAACACAAACGCGCTTTTCTCTCGCTTTTCAGAAATTTCACTAAGCCGACTGTTGAAGAAATGCGCATGAAAACAGTTAAGATTCTTTGGGGCTAGCGAAATTCATGGTAAGACACTCCTCGAGTGGCTGGTGCACTGGTTTGAGTACGTGTTTCTCACTAGTATGTCAATTGCGCATCAGTAATCGCGTCCCACTGAGATAGCAATAATTGTACCCACGGAATAACCATCAAAAGTGGAGCGAATTTCTGAAGCATAGAATGCGCTAAGCCATAGAGAGAGAGAGAAAGAGATTAAGTCATTCTGATTTGCAAGTATAAACAGATGTAGGGCATATCGCCAGACTCACTCGGCTTGTAGCTGACGTAGAACCGCATTCCGCTTCTCGACCTCTACGGCCACTGCTTGAGCGAAGGTGTGTTCTAATTGAATCAGTTGCAGTGCAGCAGGAGAATGGATCACTCGGTTATAAGCCTGACCGAAAACTTCCTCATCCGTGATGCGAGGCGGATTGGCATAAGTGGACACGTGCTGTCGAAAGAACAAGTGAGGTCACTATTAAATTATGCCAATGGGGTGTGCGAGCAGAGTCAATGTTGTGGTCCGTTAACGGTGACGTTCAACAATCTAGCTAAGCGAACTTTTGGGATTTAGTATTTCAGATTCCTACCCAGTTTTGGTAAGGGTTGCACCTCCAGTTGGTAAATATATAATCTAAAATATCCGTGCTCAGGTTTTTGTTTCCGTCTTTCGGATACTCCATTGGTCGATTAGTAGAGAAAGGTGTAAAACTGAGAGGAAGAGAACAATACTGAGTAAGTAAGGTATGAATAGAGAGTATCTATAAGCAAGAGCATCATGATCGTCATCAAACAGCGAAATACAGTAAAACAAACTTCGCTGATCGTTGCAGAATTCACAATGCACACAAAGTTAGGGAGAATGTGTAAAGTGGACAGGATTGGGCCTATTTTAGGGGAGGGGGAGAAAGTGAACCTCTAAGGTTAAGACAGAGAACACAATCCAAATATGCACAAAAACCTCTTTTAGTATTCTGACTATACAAGAAATGACCATAAGATTGAAATTTATCGAACATACCCTTCAATCAGAGACAGCACCACAGTATAGAGCGATCAACTGGGTTGGAAGCCACTTTCAGATCGAGGAAGACGGAAATGGTGGGTCTACGAAAGAAATACCTGTGTTCCGGAATTTTCCAGAAAGTCAAAATGTGCTCGACAATCTCGACCAAGTCTAAAACCAGTCAGACTCTCATACGTGTGCCGTTCACGTGTGGTAAACAATCAACGGAGTATAATGCCAGCAGGAAATTCAGAGACAATGTTGATCCAAACATCCACCTATGGTTTTCACAAGACAATCCGTTACCTTTCTTATGAATCGGTGAGATGGCCAACACAGACCGTTAAGTTGGGGCGTGTTCCCTTTCGCATATTGGATCCCGGAGTTTTCTACACTCTAGTACAAGGGGTGAATCGACATCCCTAAAAGCAAATGGGGACAGCTCAGTCGGACCCGAGGGCTTATACCGTTTGAGGCCTCCGAAAGCCTCAGTATGGTCGAGGGTGGGTGTCTCGGGTTCTGATTGGTCACCATTCCATCGCGGAATGCTCCTATATGACCAAGCGTTTCATATAGCCTCTGCTGAGGAAGCCCTTCTCATTGCTTTCCCGTGGCGGAGGGGTTTTCCCGCTTAATTGAGAGAACGAAAAGCCAACATTTGGAGCTATAACCGGGTTGGTGAGCCATTGCCAGTTCACTCGGGGGAGTTAGCTGAACACCCTGGTTCCAAACCAGCCAAGAAGAGGCGTACAAACCACAAATACACACACACACCTTACTGGTTGTGTCAGTGGTCACTGAGCTCCACCTAATTTTTTCAGTGCGATTTTGACGTTCTGCAATAATGACTTATAGCTGTCCATATATCTGTTCTGCGTTCTGCAGAATAGTCCTTGCAGATGATCCGGTAGATAAAGATTATCTAACACTGCATTTCCATGGAATCCATTGTTCACGTCAATGTCAATGGGGATTGGTCGTCTTTCTCCGTCTGGTGTGATTGGTTTGTCAAGTTGCCAAACTCTTAACAACACCATGTCACTGACAAATAAAATTAGCCCGGCTTTCAACTGAGTCATAACCCAGGAGGCTGATGCTTAGAAGAACGATGCCTGATGCCCGCAAGAAGCTCGCAAAGACGGATTGCGCTATACCATACACATTCGATCCCCAGCTGGATCGATGGATTCGTACTTCTGATGAGAACCAACCAGGTAGAAACAGAT